TTATATGTAATATTACTTTATCCTTGCAGATGCCTATTTTTAATTTTTTAGTAATCGAAATGGCGGAGACTCACACTAAATGACTAACATATTTGGTTTAACTTTGATAATAATACTACATTATTACAGCTGCCCCTCTTAAGTCTTTACGTACATTTCAAATTATGGACAGGCTGCAAATATTTACACACATCTCATTAAAACACCAACTAGTACAAGATTAAGGAGAGAAGAACAGTCTATAAACAAGCACAATTATAAAGTTAGATTAATAGGTAGATTTGGTTAACCAATCAATACATCAATTTTTATTAGTGCACCTTTTAATGGTAAGCATTATCTTAAAGAGGTCTAAAAAGCCATGGTAAAGAAAAGGCTGAAATAAACATCAATTAAAATAGGGCTATGTAATGAATTTTCAAGTATTATTAGTATCTCAAAACTCAAACTAAAAAAGCTCAATGATTCAGGAAATTCTCTAGACACTAAAACACTAGACAGTTCACGCTTTTCACTTAAGTATCAGTAATAAATTGTGGCAGACCTATGCACAACATCAGAGCTCTGTTCGAAAAGCTCCTAAATTGGTACATTGTCATACTTTTTTCCATTATAAAACAAAGCAAAAGCGTGTAAGCTAACATCAGGAAAGGAAATGGAGTTGGATTAAGCATGTTTTAATTAAAACGTGTCTGCATTGCCACAGTTTTCGCACTAGCAAAATGTAACCAAGATCTGAGAAGAAAGGATGTGTGAGATAAGGGCAAAGTATTCAGGAGAATCATTTAACCAGTAACCAAAAATCGTTACCATTTATGTTACATATAGATACATAAAAATCAGAACAGCAGCTAAATGGAAAAAATATGGATTACTTTAAGCTTCGCTTATACAGGTCTCCCATATAGAAAACTCCACCTGCGAGGATTTGTCTTTAAACGTAAAAGTCTAAAATTGTACGCACCCTGACACTCGGCCAATGCCTGTAATGATGCCACCAGCTGGAACTTCCTCCTTACCATACAACTGGTATCCTGCAAACTGGGAAAGTTCCAGAAAAGGAGAGCTGGAAGAAAATGTTTTCCTTTCTTCACAATCCGTTTATACATTAGGCACATCAATTAACGCAAAAAGCACTTTAAAGACCTTTGCATCCAGCACATACAGTACATGCAAATATTTATCTACATTATAAATATATACACTTAACTGCAAGAATACAAATTAAACCCTCCAATGTCAGGCAGTATATAGTACATGTATGAATCACAAAGCTTATTCTATTATTTTTTGGTAACTTTGGTTATTCCATTATCTTTATTGTAGCAACTACAGACCAGTGTTGCTTTAACGCAGGCTCATCAGTCCAGTGCAATATTGTTTTGAATTGTCAAAACACGGCGACACTGTAGTGATGTGTCTCTGCTGAAGCACAACCAGGCAACAGTTCCTGCATGTGTTGACTACTTTTTCATCTAAGAGGCTATCAAAAAACACAATGTAGCCAGATTTGCGATATTGATTTCTTTCTGTTTACTTTTGGATTTGTGGTTTTAGAATTAATTATAACACCTGCTACTGTCTAAGGGCATGTTCTGTGATGTAGCAGGGGAGAAACCATTACTATAGTCAGTCCATCTTATGGAGGGGAGCTCCTACTGCTAGTCGGGAAAAGGAACAAAAAAACAACCGCATCAAAACAAAATCATTATTATTAGTTGTTAAATAATCAACAATTCTTTGTGGTTCTCTTTTGCAAGTTCATACAATCCCAGGCTCCCACAATGTATAATTTACCAATTGCCAAGTCCAAAACTAGCTCTTTCGCTGATCAAGCACAATGGCTGTCAAGGGCCCTTTCCTACTGAGGTCGCTGGCCCTGCAATTTATAAGGACAGGTCCCGTCTAACTACAAAATTATTCCCCAACACTGTAGGGAATACACTCACACGAAAATAGTCTTTTAAAAAAAAGTATAACAACAAGACAGGGCAGGAGCAAGCTCCCATAAAGCCATTCTGCATTGACCAATTCTGTATCTGAATACATGTCATACATGTAAACAGAAAAGTCCTGTTCCGTTATTCAGGTATTGGAACGTGCCACCAAAGTTATAAAACATCAGTGCTGATAATGCCACGAGAAAGCTGCAAGTGGTTGAGAAGGAATGGGTAGCTGGGCACAATGAAGACCCATTTTTCCTCTTGCTCTAAAAGCAGCAGTGACTGATGCTCACCCGGGGTCGAGCAGCCTGTCAATGCGCTCCCTGGGCAGCAGCTTCCCTCTGGACGTGTGCAGTGTTCTTGCCTTTTCTCCACCACCTTTATCAAAGGAAAGAATGGCTGACATATGTAGGGCTAGAGGCCGTGTTAAACGAAGCCCTTGAAATCAGCAATGGGATGTGGGATCATTAAGAATATGGAAACATCTATTAACTGGACACATCTGTGCCTTCCTGATACTTTTAACTCTTGCACTGTTGTCTCTTACACTCATTCGGGAATTTGTGATTTGCTCACAGCCTCCATCACTGTTGTACTGCGCATCTTACTTTGAATTGTTGTGATCACGAATTATTTTAAAAAGATATCATCAACTTGGACCAAACCAGTTTAATTTGGTGATGTAGCAAAAACATGTAATACTTTGCTCTGTTCCGCTGTGTTATTGCTTGATCAAAGAACTTAGTTAACAAGAGTCTTAGTTAGCAAGACATATTTTTTCTATATCCACGTTGAGTATCCCCTAGACAATATGCCCCCTCCGGTCCAAGAATCAAACTTATTATACTTGGCCATACAGAGATGTGTCTGTGAACATGGATCAGCTCCATAGTTAGATATAAACTACAGTTATTGCCTCAAGAATAAATACTTAAAAGGTAAGGGAACAAATTTCTGAACTTCTATAAAGGCTGTAGACTTTAGGAGATAAAGTATTTCTTTCAGCATGTGGAGGGAATATTTTTCTCTCTTCTGGCAACTAAGGATTACACATATTATTAGTAATTCTAATAAAGGATTATAACACTTTCCACTGTCAATACAATTCAAATGTTCACTGTGACACAGTGGGCTAGAACCCAGAGATCACTTTAACGAACCTTCACGTACAGATCTGGCTTAGCCTCAAATTTCAGGACTCCTTTTTTCTTCCACTTTAATTCTGAGAGACAACCCCACCAAAAGGGGTAAAATGAAAAACCTAAGATACAACAAGAGATCTCACCAAATTTGATTTTTTCTGCTCGCTCCTTCAGTTCCATGACAAGGGCCTGCATTCGTTCATAATTCTCCTAGAAAGGTGCAGAAAGTTGTCACCCATCACAGTAACTTAAAAGCAAAATGGACAGTCCAGCCGCAAGACGGAACAGTACTCTCCCTGTCAATTAATTAACACCGGCAAAGATAACTGTAACAAAATGATTGTGGGACTTATCTGAAGGGGCTTAATTCTTGACCTGTCTGAAACGAAAACAGTTATTTACTTACAACTGCTAATGATACACGACTAAATATGGTAACAACTACAGAACCTGGAAAGGAGATTTTCTTGATATTTCTTGATTCCAGCAGTAAATACAATGATATTGAGTAAGCCTTCTTTTGAATAAAGTAAAAAGAAAAAAAACGTTTGGGACAGTCACACTTGGAAACGGAAGTGTAAATCTATAATTTATATTTAATATAAACTGTTTATTAATTATCCTTAGACACACATGAAAGGTTTCACCTGTACCATGACATATATATGTGATTAATTAAACTAAGAAGTCCCTCATACATTTCTACTCTATTGTCCTAAATAGGTTCAATCAAATACAGTACCATCAAATTTATTTTAAAATAAAAATATCAGATGTTATATGATATACAGTAGGTGCTCTGTATGTATGAAGTATACTTGGTAAACTAATCATGTGCATTGGAATACAAATAATTTTGAGAACCATTTTAAGCAGGACACTAACATTAAAACAGAATACTGCAAAGAAACCCTACTTTGCTGGCCACATAAACTACATCAGGTATTTTTTTTTTACATCAGGTAAAATATAACCTTGACAGTCCGTACGTGTTTCGTCACTTCCTAGTAATTCTGTTCTTTACGTATGCAGTGCAATTGATTTAGAAAAACACAAGAAATCTATAATTTAAATTCACCATTGATGAAAGACATGTTGAATGTTATTTGAAGTGTACGTTTTACAAATAACGTTGTGAAAGTTGCACACAACTGCGCATCAAACAATCACGTTGATGCAAGAAGTTACTCGTATTCCCTTTAACAGCAAGGTTAGACTGTTAAACTCCAAAGACTACAATTTTAAAATGTTATCACACTATAACCATACGAGAAAAAAAGAAAGATCGTGGTTGCAATTCTCTTCATCAGTTAAGCTTCTGCACTAGAGACCGAGGCTCCGTTCCTGGCCTACCTGAAAGAGTGGCGAGTTTGTATCGGGCTGAGAACCGAGTGTTGCCACTTTATCCCCATGGTAAAGCCTTGTGAAAGCTGCTGTCACCCTCCCCGTACATCTGAGAAGACACAGCGATGGTCGGAGTGTTTGTAACATCATTATAATTTTGCTCGAATACGTGTACCCTCATACAACCATGTATGCTTATCAAGCGTTAGTTTTGCAAGGAGCCCATCTATCGCTCTCCCACAATCGGCGCTGAAAGCGTTAATCCGGCTCTTCCGAAATCCACTCCCACCACAGCCGCAGCAAATAGGATTTTACCAGGAGAAACTGCCCACTTTGACAATCGTAACAGGCTATTAGAATTCGTGCACCAACCTAATAATACAATCATGGAATTTCTAGATCTTATTTTATTTTGAGAGTTCACGTTTTGCACTCTTTCCCACAATCCTCATATCATGCTATTAGCCATGATACTCTTGAAACAATTCGACAATGACTAATGCCAAGTACAGTATGTACTGGCTACGTAGTTTCATTTGGAGATTTCATCATTTTTTGGCTCTTTGAAAAGATTTGCATCTTATCATTTTTAAACAATAAATGTTTTTATGACATGTGGCTCATTTTAAGTATTGAAAAATAGCATCTACCTAAATTGAGTTCTTTGCGTTTAGATTGTTGTGCTTTACAAAATAATCTCTATACTGTAGAAGGAACTGTAGCCTGTTGCATTGTACAACATTTATGCTTCACAACATCTACTGTACTAATACATGACATGTTGCATTACGTAATAGGTTATTACCTTTTTGGATATTTTATGATGTCATTATATGGGTTTTAACTGAAGTTGTATGTGATTATGCAGAATTTGTAGTCAAATATAATAACGCGTGAAAACGTGTTTTACACGAGAACAAATCTTAGCGACCTGCTTTAGCTGTACCAGGAGCGTTCCTGACACACCGGTCTGTTATTATTAATAAAGTCTGTTATTAACTTTGTGGGTAATGTAAGAAGCATATGGTGAGAAGCGTATGGGAAAAAAATGTACGGATGTATGTAAAGTCAATGTGTCATTGAACAGGTAACAAGCTAAATGGAGCTGCACCATGATAAGGATACTCCATAAGAACGTTTCCATATTATTAACGACAAAGGAAAACAAGTCACATTTGTATAAAACCTTTATTAACATATTTTACAGGATAAACAACTTTTTTTCCCCCAATAATCTCTATTTTTTCTCAAAGAAGTTTTGCTTTCATCAATATTACAATTCCAAGAACCAGTTTCTCCATCATCAAATTATGGCCACTTCCAACTGATAAAAATTCTTCATCCACAACTATTTGTTATTGAAACTGCTGAGACAAAAGATGAATCATTTCCACTGTGAATTAGTGTTAAAGATTCAAAAGCAGTTTATTAGCTTAATTAAAGTGTCTACATTTTTAAATGTAAACTTTTATTGTTTCTGGACATGCACCTCTTTCAATAAACTGGGTTATACAATGAAAAACAACCGATATGTTGACTGCATAAAAGTGCTTTGTTTTTTGTATCTGCATTATTCCAGTAATAGAGGTTTTAACACAAGATGCAACGGCAGCCATAGTGGCCAGAATGCTCACCACACATCAGGATCAAGGGGGAGGAGAGCAGAGTAATGAAGCCAATTCATAGATGGGGATTATTAGGAGGCCATGATTGGTAAGGGCCAATGTGAAATTTGGCCAGGACGCCGGGGTTACACCCCTACTCTTTTCGAGAAACGCCCTGGGATTTTTAATGACCGCAGAGAGTCAGGACCTCGGTTTTACGTCTCATCCGAAGGACGGCGCCTGTTTAAAGTATAGTGTCCCCATCACTATACTGGGGCATTCGGACCCACGTGGACTGCAGGGTGAGCACCCCCTGCTGGCCCCACTAACACCTCTTCCAGCAGCAACCTTAGTTTTTCCCCGGAGGTCTAACATCCAGGTACTGGCCAGGCTCACACCTGCTGAGCTTCAGTGGGTTGCATGGTGATATGGCTGCTGGCTGTACATGATTAACTTTGTGTGACACTCAGGACAATATACCAGTAAAGACTGATTCTGAAAAATTGGTTCTTTCACAGAGGTAAGAGTACTTTCTTTGCCCTAATAATATGGATCCAAAAAGGAAAGAATTGTAACAATTCCTTGCATTTATATTTCAATTTTCATCCCAGAGCATTCTGTATATAACAACAGCATCTACAACAGTTCAAGGGGAAAAGAGAGAGAAATTTCCACCTGTTATCTTACTATGAATGACTTAAAAAAATGTGGAGCAAAAATTAATCTTTTTTTCTTCCACCCAGTAAGTGCAAAGATCTTCAAAGAACTGTAACTATATTTAAGTCCTTTACATAATTGATGTTTCTCTTTTACATATTACCAGCAAAATCCAACAGTTTAGTAAGAGTTTAGGTACAGATTTAAAGTTTTGATTCCCAAGATGCAGACATTTCAAAAGCAAGGATATCAAAATCCAAGCACTTACCTATCCTATAATATGAATGTGTTCATAATGCACAATGAACATTTGTCCTTCATGAGGAAAAAAGCATAATAATTAAAAATAAGGTTCAGGAAACAGCAATCCTGCATCAGTGTAACTTAAAAGCAATCCACCAATCTTCTGAATATGGCATTACATTCTTTAGATATCTATAACGTTTTCTACTTCTTTCATAAAGTACTTTATGCCAGATATGAGCATTTAAAAAACAGCTTATTTAATGCAAACCAAGAAGTACCATTATAGTAACACTACAAATGTGCTGAGTGGACAAACGAAAAATACAGTATGTGTGGTTACTCTAAATACAGTAGACTAACTACACACACCTGAATTACAAAATTAAGAGGCACCCTTAAAACAATGGTTAGAGATAAATAAAAAGATAAGATAATCTAATGAATATCTCTACTCATTAGAAACGAACAATCTCTAACATGAAATTAACAATGCTACGAGTTGACTTTCATTCAAACATATTCAGGACTGGAATGCATTTTATTGTAGGAAGCCTTTCAATTGCTTGGAAACAGATTTATAAAGATTGCTCTGCTCTGAAATATTAATTACCTGTTAAATATTTATCAGTTTGAATGCTTTCAAGTTACTGAACAAACCTGTTTCTTATCTATCAGTTATCAGAAGCACATCAGGAAAAACTAGGCTAAAGGCATGATCAATTTACACTTCACAGCACAGGATACAAGGTTTTTGATGAGGAAAAAAAACAGAAGGGTCATTATTGAGAGTAACATTTTCTTAAGACAATTTCTTAATCTCTGCAGGAATCCCAAGACAGTCCAATTCTTTAAGTAGGCATAATGGATTTGACATGCATATCCAATATTTGCCTAAGCACAACACCTAAGTACAGTTCAAAAACACCAAAACTTTGGTAGTAATATGAATCACTTCTAGTTTTCATCACTGTAACTAAGTGTACACTGTAAATGTACAAAATGAAAGCCTGTCAAATCAGTGCTTTTGCAGCACTTAATAAACAAGAATAGGTCACCCTAAATTAGTCTTTCTTCAAGTGATTCCAGTTCATCAGATTGATTTCTCTACACATGTATAAATCTGACCAGCTAGATGTTAAACGTTTGGTGGAATAGTATTAGGTTTTTATCTCGCAACTGTATTCTAGAAAAACTGATAAGAAGTCAGAAGTAATGGACTTCATACCACAGCATAACATTTTAAAATTATATATTGTACTTATGTATACTTTTCTTTAATTGCCAATTAGTTTTGTTGCTCAACTTTTCATAAAATAGGAGGATGGAATCCTCCTATTTGTAGTATAATTAGAATTCAATCTGGGGTTTCAATATATAAGTCTTCAACTCCACATGAATCCACACTACTTATTTGGATGAATCAGTGTTTAGGAAGATATAACTCATAAAGTGTAGGTTTAACAAATATTCATTGAACTCTACTTAGTGTTAATAAGACTTTCTAACAGTTTTTGACTTCATTATTTTAAATGACTTTAGACAATAGTTCAGTTAAAACTACAACTCTCATGGCAGGATGACAAGTGAAGAGGAAAAAAATTCTATGAAACATGCAATGTCAGACCATTAAGTTCTGTTCAGGCTACTGCTTAGGTAATCCTTGGCAATATTGACGAAGTCCAGATTTAAATCAGTGATTTATAGGCTCAACCTGCTCTCTGAGCCGCTCATGAATTCCTGCATTTGTGTCTTCTTTGAAATAAATTTGGGGATAATGGATCCTACTGTCTTCAAAAAACAATTGGGAAAAAAAGATACAGGAATTTCAGAGAACCCTTAAAATTGAATTTATTCTCTATTTTTCTCATGATAATGTTTTACTTCAAATTATTAAAACACTAAAATGAAATAAAGTGTAGTCAAACCCTAAAACCTTTTTTCCTTTGCAAGAGTTACAGGATTTACAGGAAGAGTTAGGGATGAGACCGCAATTCAAGTTATAAAGAATGCATTTTCAATAAAACATAATTGTCTGGAAAATATAAATATAAAAGCTAGCCTGTCAGATGACTTCAAACTCTAAAAGGCTTTATTTGCTACACTGATAAATATTCCAGCCCTTTCAGATCAATCTAAATATTTAACATTTCTAACATTTACATAAACCTTTGAATACCAACAAACCAAAATATTAGAATTGCACTTTAATCTGTTCTTTAGAAGCATTCAACAGATATGAAGATTTGTTAGAATTTATTCAAGTTCTATAATTGCCTGATTGAAATAATGTAGAAGAGAAAAAAAGTGAACACTCAAAGGCCAGTTGGAGATGAAGGATTACCTATGTTATTTCCCTGTACTCTGAATAATCATACCAGAACAGAATACAGCACATTATTGTTAAAACCTTCACTAACTGGATTTATGGGAATCAATGGAATATGACGGGTATAAATTTCCACAGTTGCAGATATGGACGTGAAAATTTCTCTTCCAAGTAGAATGACCTGTTCAGGTCAATTTTGAAGCAAGGTTTGAAATCGCATTTCATCTTACACTGTGACAAAAGAACAGCTGCATTAACTTGCAAGATAAACTGTGGTTTGGATCCAGCACTGATGCAAAGTCCTTCTGCAGTCTTGATGAAGGAGGTCTGTTTGAACAAATAAATAACGATGACTTTGCCAGTTTCAATCTGGCTCATCTACCTCTGTAAAGATGTCACTGAAGAAATACTCGGAGACCTTAGTTGGTTCTTCATCAGTGTTCGAACTGTCAACACAGAGGACCTCATTTGGAGGTTGTGGCGGAGATTCTAAAGTCCTGGTTTTGAAGCCTGGCGTACAGGTTGACTGAAAGAAATAACATAAATTACTTAAGCTGTTTAGAATTTGGAAAACGATGAACACACATCTTTATAGTAGCCCCAACACAGAGACATGGGCTGAATCCATCGATGGAAATTAAGTAAAGCTAGAACCACACTGAAGCACATGAAGGAGTGTGAATGTAGGAAACGAAGTGTGACCCTTATGGATGGCAAATCCATTTATTGTACACACTGCAAACAACAGTTTAAGATCTTGTCTGAATGTTCCTTTTAAACTGAGCAACAAATCCACCACTTTTTGGTAAGAATACCCTGAGGATGCGGAGGACAGAGAAGAAGGGAGAACTAAACCATGACGGAACGACAATCCAAGACATTGAAGGAGAAGCTCGTGATATTTCTTGATACGAAAATACTATCACTGTGCAAATGTCTTGAAACCTTGGCTCCTGAAACAGCTCAGGAGTCGGCCTGCCAAAAGCTCTTGTGAAGGAGGAAAGCCATACTGTACTTCTTACTGGCTGCCTTAACCATGTCAAGCTCTTTTCAGAGAGTACTTAGTCTTGATTTTACATGCCAATGACAGCACGCTGTATATAGTTTACCAAAGCCCAGACAGTTCTGAGCTTATGAAGGTGGTGCTACAGACCTCATGTGAATACAGGTGAAAATAAAAACTCCACGTTAACTTCAGAAAGTTAAGAACTTAAGAAAGTGGAAGAAAAGGTATTACAAATATATACTGTAAAATCTACATTCCCTTACCTGTGGTGAAAGCTTGCTTTGAAATGCCCAAGCCTGTGATCTTCTACCGGCTGGGCTATCACTGGAGGAATTTGACGAGCTCTTCATAGCAGCTACAACAGCAGTCCTTTTCCTTCTCTCCATCCCAGAGGTATTAATCTGAGGTTTGTGTGTTGCAGATCTGCAAGTCTTGGGGACACTAGGAGACGTAGGGGTACTTTTCTCCGAAATAAAAGACAAAAATCCTCTAGGTTTTCTCCCAGGCCTTCAAACAAGAAAAATAATAAATTGGCATACTATAGCTACTTATGAAATGTAATTAGCTATCCACACTTGCAAAGCATGTTTAAAGCAATTGGTATAACATCAGATTTTCAACAGGATTATGTGCCTCTTGGGCCTAATTCTAATTTTTACTACATAAAATTGACTACCTATTGGAATTCAGTCCGCCCTCGAAGGAAACTCTGTGGTGCTGTGAGAGTATTGGTGTGCACACCATGAACAGTGACAACGGTAACTATAGGACACATTATATCTTGGCAGGACAGATCTAGACCACAGGCCCTATGGTTGGCACCTCTATTACAGATAATCAGATGGATTGAGAATGGTCTGCTCTGTGTCATGGCACAGCATGGTGTGCCTTCAGACATTAATGGAAGAGTACCATGTTTCACGGTCAGCAGTTTTGCCATGATAAAATGACTGTGCACTTCAAGGCAAATCATGTGAAATACTGAAATAAGTTGTTCATAACATTAACAATGATAATAATTGTTAATGTTATGTTATACACTTATATAGCGCTTTTCTGGACACCACTCAAAGCGCTTTACAGGTAATGGGGTCTCCCCTCCACCACCACTGTGCAGCATCCACCTGGATGATGCGACAGCAGCCATAGTGCTCACCACACATCAGCTATTAGTGGGGAGGAGAGCAGAGAGTAATGAAGCTGGGGATTATAGATGGGGATTATTAGGAGGCCATGATTGGTTAGGGCCAATGGGAAATTTGGCCAGGACGCCGGGGTTACACCCCTACTCTTTTTGAGATGGGATTTTTAATGACCACAGAGAGTCAGGACCTCGGTTTTACGTCTCATCCGAAGGACGGCACCTGTTTACAGTATAGTGTCCCCATCACTATACTGGGGCATTAGGACACACGTGGACCGCATGGTGAGCGCCTCCTGCTGGCCCCACTAACACCTCTTCCAGCAGCAACCTTAGTTTTTTTTCCCCAGGAGGTCTCCATCCAGGTACTGACCAGGCTCACACCTGCTTAGCTTCAGTGGGTTGCCAGTTGTGAGTTGCAGGGTGATATGGCTGCTGGCCGTGATGTGCCCGGGCTGGTGATGTGTAGGTTTGTGGGGAGGGAGGCAGTGTACTGTGGGATGGGGAAAGTTTGAGCAGCTCTGGTCAACAGGATTAGGACACTGGATTAACAGCATCGTTCTCACCTTATCAATGGAGCACCAGAGGGTGACGGCTTTATGTGTAAGTTGGAGGATGGATTCTCTTCTCCACTGCTGCTCTCTGTTGTATCTCTTTCAGCAGACATTAAGCTGTCCTGGTTTGAGGGTCCTTCTCTGCCCCTGTGACGCTGTGGGGGCACGTCTGCAGCGGACGACTGTGACTCCCCTGTGAGGCCCAGAGCCCCCTCGGGCCTGGGGTCTTCACACTGCGTTGTCCGGACTCGGGATGGGGGATCCTCCTGCGCTGGCAAGGTCTCAGATTTTCCTCGGCCCTCTGTGCGCTCCACAGGTTTCCTTTTTGAAGTGTTGGGTTTTACTTGTAGCTTCCCTGAAATGACACACAGAAGAATAATTACGGTCATCTTACCCCACCAGCCAAGCTTAAATGATTTTTAATGCCAGTGCACTCACTGGCCAAAACATTACGAACACACTGTCAATTTCATCAGGTAATGGGCGGAGCGGTGGCTCTGTGGCTAAGCAGTGTGACTTGACCGGCAACCTTCCAGTCACAGAGTTGCCGGTTCAAATCCCACAGCTGGCAGAGGAATCCTACTCCGTTGGGCCCCTGAGCAAGGCCCTTAACCCTAACTGCTCCAGGGGAGCCATACAATGGCTGACCCTGTGCTCTGACCCCAAGCTTCTCTCCCTGTCTGTGTGTCTGTGTCTCATGGAGAGCAAGCTGGGGTATGCGAAAAGACGAATTCCTAATGCAAGAAATTGTATAGGGCTAATAAAGCAACATTATCATTATTATTATTATTATATGTGTGGCTGGAATAAAAAGCACGAGACACTTCCAACATAGACCTCCACATCAAACTCTAGATCTCACTAGTATTGAAAATCACCTTTATCACCTCAATTAAGATAACCCTGCTAGAAGGATTGGATAGGAGACGATTGGATAGGAGAGGGTAGCAAATGTAAGCTATTTTGACATGCATGTGTGTAGTCAAGTTTATTTGCTTACTTGATCCAAAGATTTTCTTTAACCATTTTAGCGAAAGTTCCCAGTACATCATCTTCAGAAACGTGGCATGGTAAGTTCCATACACCTCCCGCCCCTTGTGTAAAAAGTGTTTACTTTCCTCAGCTAGGAAAATCATTTTGTGTAAAAAGAATGGTTGCTGTATGGAACAGGTTTTTGAAGACCTTTCCACCGGAGCCTTCAAAAAGATATTTTTCATCACTGTGTCTGATGAGGTGAGATACAATACTTTCTGTAGGACCACCACAGAATGTAGAGAAAGCATTTTAAATCGAAACATATAAAAAAAGTAATGGGAAAGTAGTTCACCTAAGAAATCTGGATGAGTTTTGACACCCATGGCACTAGATTTGCCACTGTACAAACAAAAGTTGACTTAGAAGGCAAGGGCTACTGTACTTTACACAACCAGCTTTTAGCTACTCACCTCTTCTTGTCCTTACTGGCAGTTTCCTCTTCTTTTGTGTTCCTTCATCACTTGTTCCCTCTGTCCCAGCACCTACTGATTCAGATGATTCTACCACAGGCTCCAGGGTCAGCCTGGCATAACCTTCAGCTTTAAGAAAACAGCCCGATATGAAGTTTGACACTGGAGATGCATTACAGTATTTAAAAGAGATTTTGTTGCAAGAAACATCAGGTCATTTGGAGCTATAAGTGTCAGTTAGCAAGCATTTTCTGTGTGCTATTAAAAATATTTTTTATTCAGGGACAAACTATCACCTTTCAGCCAACTGAAGATATGAGTTTGAGATCTAAGAAGCTGTAAGTTTCAATGTCAACAGCTTATAAAATATTGTTCATTTTTTCCTTTTCTCTTTTGTATCTTACTCTAGCCTCCTATAAACTGTTAAAATATTTACAGAATACTGTAACACTTTAATTTTGTCATCACTGCTACTGTGGTTTAAAATATTTATTTTTCACAGCTTGAGGAACAAGTTTCAGATTTATTTCAATAATAGGTAAAGCATATTCAATAACCAAACAAAATAACGTATCTCACCACATGAATGTGCAGGGCTCTCCACACTGTGTTTCTGTAAAACAAAAACAAAAAAGCTAAGTGCAAACAAAAAAATGTGACAATAAAAAACTTTTTTTATGATACAACAGAAAACACGAAGAATGTCCACACAACATTTAATTACCATTTAAAGAATAACAGACTGTGCACTGAAAGTTTTATCTTTGATTCAGACCTTTTTTCTCTGTTGAAGATCAAGCTCTAAGATCAGCAGCATATCTCTGAAACTAGATGCCCAAACCCATTAGAAACTCTGTGACTGTCAACATTTGTAAACCTCTTAAAACCTATCTTTTCTCCTCAGCTTTTAATAATGAATGTACTTTCACTGGTTCACCACTCATTTGAATAAATATACAACAAGGAAATATGAGTTAAATATTGGTCAAGTGTTAATACTGTAGCTAGGGACTGTTGTTTCAGATTCAAAGTTAACAATAAGTAGATCTTAATAACCCAGACATGGTAGCTAGATTTTAGAGCCCACAAATATACTCTGAACAAACATAATAACAAAAATGGTACTTTCTTTAAATGCAAAGTCCTTTGAGATGGATTATTTTGCACAAGTTTTGTACTGCAAGAATGCAGAAATTCTGTATACATTTAAATAAAGGGAACTGTTGCCTTACCACGGCAGTGGTATCTGTTGTTTCTTGAGATGGCCCTTCAGGGTTATCCTCATTACAGAGGCTTCCAGTTTCCAGTTCATCAGCAACAGACAAGGTCCGTTGTTGTGTTGGAGTCCACATCTCCATACCTCTGCCCTGCTGTTCGCTGGAGGCTGGCTGCGGGATATACCTGCCAGCTGGGTCTGACAGACTCCCACACCCAGGTTTTGCCATCTTTGGATCTTCGGCCGTTTCCACGGATACCTGACCGCAACTGTAATGGGGACAAAATATTTTGAGGTAACCTCTACAACGGAAACACTACAGATTGTCATGAGACGGGCAATTTTACTTCACTGATGATGTGGTGCAGCAGTAATCCCGCTCAGGATGCGAGGCGCAGCACGTTTACAACACATCTGATTTCTGAGCTTGGTTGACGAGTCAATGATCTGGCCCTACTACATGTAGGATTATGACTGAATGCCA